GGAAAGAGTAGAGAAAGAAGCCCAGAGACGGTGGCAACCAGGAGCTGGTCCTCGAAGGGTTGGCTGAATACGGCCAGCATCTTAAACTGTTGCCGTGAGTGGAAGGGAAGACAAAGACGATGTCATGGTATTAAGTTTATAGCGTGAATGTCCAGTTATTCTGGGTGAGTTAGTTCTAGCAAGTAGGGGGGCTGAGCAACGCCCACACGGAGGGGCACCGAGCTCCAGGGGCAACATCAGCCGGGCACAGGGTGACGCAGACAGAGGCCTTGACACAGGTGAGCCCAATCCTAATCGGAAACCGGGTTAAGAACTGGTCTGGAGCATCATAAGAAGTAAATTTGTTTTGCAAATGTCAACATACATTATGCAAATGAGCCTCACGTGTCAAGTTTAAATATGATCGTGTCTATGCCACCCGTCTCTCTTCTTGCACGTCGGGTTATCACTTAAACAAACAGCCTCATTTAAAAATAATTCCACAACAGGAAACTGCCTTAGAATTGACTTTTCTAATTAGTTCAGACTTAGCGCTTTTCTTACTGCATGTAATACACAGATTCCTGCTCGCTCTACACATTTTTTAAAAATAGCATTACATTAAAAAAATGGATGTTAATTCTAAAAGCAGTCATGAATAATATACAAACGATTGTTTTTCATAACATTTACTGTTCAAAATTAGAGAATACATAACTAAGACCCATGCAGACAGGATTTCCTTATCTTCTGAAAAGAATGTGACGTGAAGTTACCCACCATCTGTCAGAGTAAGGCTGCTCCAGCTGGGGCTTTGGGAGTTTTGTGTCTCTCTCTCGAATGACCTGGTTGAGAACCTCTAAGTTGGAAAGGTTGGAATAAGGCTGAGTGGCATTCTCAAAAAGCTCCCAAAGTGTCACACCCAGGGACCTGCAGAAAAAAGAACACGGTTATTTTCTTCTCTCTTCGGATGTCGAAGTTTTAACACCTACATTTTTACTTGTACAGTCACTAGTAATTTCAAGCACGAAGTGTCTACTGAAAAGGTTACTCAAGATCGCTCTCTAACATGATTTTAAAAGCAGGCATTTCCATTAAAATGAGGACCACAAGAATACCTCCTCAGATTTACTAACGGAATATATTACTTTAGGAATTTTGGCCAATGCAAAAAAATATGAGATGGAGCTAAGAGGCATGATTACACGGAGAAGCGAATATGACCGTCAACCTTAAAACTCAAGAAATTAGAAAGTTCATCACGATGACTTTTAAGAGTTCAGCAACGCAGCTAGATACAAGGTAAATACACTGAATTCTGAGATTTTTGGTAGGGAAAAAACATCCCATTCACAACAGCAGTAAACGTCGGAAATCTTGACATGAACAATCCTTCCCTGTTTGCCCCATGTATTTCTTGCTGTAGCTATTCCTGAGTGTCTGGGGCTTTTTGCTCTTCGGAAGGACGCCCCCCCGCCCCACTACTCTGCCAGAAGCGGCCACGTGCCCGAGCCCCTCACCACCTCCAGGTGCACAGCCGTCACCACGGGCAGTACCCGGCCCACTCGCCCGCGCGCCCAGTGCTGGCCTCATGGAAACGGCCTCTGTGGCTGAAGCCAGAGGGACACTTCCTCTCCACTTCCTCTGTGTGATCCCTGCGTTCGTTCCCACCACCTCCACTTCTGCCGCATATTACAGTCTATTTTCTGCAACGGCTCCCAAACCTGGCTGACGGTCTGTGTCATCTGGATGCTGGTACTTAGGACCCTCCCCACCCCACCCACCCCGAGGACTCTTCGTTGGATGCAGGTGTGGCTGCATCTTTAAAAAGCTCCCTCATGGTTCTGACGTCCAGCCAGGTTTGGCTATTGATGGTTTCCGTGAGTATACCCACCAGAATGCTTGTGTGAATAATGAGCCGTACTTGAGTAAATACGTTTACTATTTGACGTGGTAGAGTACAATATAACGTATGAGTTAAACTCTCTTATACTAATCTCACAAATCAGTGAGAAAAATCAACATATTCAGTATCTAAGTGGAGGGGGCATTTCAACCAAAGGAAAGAAAAGGACCCAAATCTCCCAATCCAATTCAAGATGGGAGAAGTTTCCTTTGACTACAGCATCTGCTAGGGGCAGAGGGCTGTTTCGGATACAAAGAAGTTGAAGACACTGTCAACGACTTTAGGGAATTAACAATTTATTTGACCGAGGAAAATAAGAAGTTTACATGAAATGCTAAAGACCACAAAGGTGGCCTATGATTAGGGGCAAGATGAGTGTTATCAGCACCAAGCCTGGTTTGACCCTGGGCACGTACCTCTACCTGCCTTATTTTCTCCAAATCCCCGATGTAACTACCTTTCTCTCTCCCAGCAAGGCTTGTTCCCAAACCAATCCCCTCCCCAGCTCTTCAGAGACCGTGAAGCATGGGTTTTCTTCTCAACTCCCCACTCCCCCGACCCTTAACACCCTCCTTGAGCGTCCCTTTCTCCTGGCACAGGCCACCTAGAAAGAGGAGCCATGTGCCCACCCTGCCCTGCAGCTCTCTATTCCCTAGTCTTTCCCACCCAGTCTCCTTGGGGACAAGTGCCACTGGCCACCGCCAGCATTCCCTTCTCTCCAGCTCTTTGCCTCTCACTGGCCTGTGTCTCCCTGAGGACCAGCAAGCCTCTTTCTTCCGGGAAGAAAAATGTCCTGTAGCTCTTATCCCCTCTTCCACCAAACTCACTGAGAGAGGATCCTCTCATTCACCCCTGGCACAGGGCAGTTTGGTCCCTGCCTCTCATGGAAGCTGGCACCACTGCCAGCACTGCCACCAGAGGCTGCTCAACCCGTCAGAAACAAGGGGGAGGCTCTGTCTCTGGGAACGCAGGCTAAGTTTTCAGGTCAATCACCCTGCAAGAATAGTAAAAATATGAAGGAAGCGTGAAAAGCAACTTCTTAAACACAACAAACAGCAGATAAGATAGCAGGGAACTACCTGGACAAAATCTAGAGCTTAGTGAACTAAGCAGAACACTAAAACCACCTTTGACTACAGCATCTGCTGAAGCACAGAACTTGGGCTTCTGTGTCTGTGGTGTACCAGGCTCAGTGGGGGTGATGGTGGCGGTGGACAGGCCAAAGCCCTGGGCCTGCACAAGGTAAGGGGTCTCACAGAGACCTCCTCACAGTGGGAATAAACCTGCCCCCTGCCTTTCTCAGGGGCCTGGAAGGCAAGCTGCCTTGGCACTGAGGTCCTGTGAATTAGTGGACGTGTGGGAGCGTGAGTACGTGTGTGTGTGTGTTGGCGGGGGAGTGTAGTCCCAAAGAAGCTGTAACCACAGAGCTGGTCCTTACTTGGACTTACAGCCCAAACTCACACCATCTGAGTGCTCTAAAAGATCTTGAGCTGGATACATAAAGCCCTGAATTAAGAGTAGTCCCTTACATGACGGGACACCCAAGTACCTGACAAAAGCAAATGTGGACCCTCTCTGGAGAAATGTTTCTCAATTCTAGGTTTCCAAGATCCTCACCATAAAAAAGTCCCCAAGGAAACAAACCACCATCAAGAGCCAGCAAGATCAAATCCACAAAGACTTCAGATACTGGAATTATCTGATGTAGATCATAATCAAATAGACTTCCTAAAACCAAAAAGCCAATATCTGAACTACAGAATTCAATAGAGAGATTTAACAGAAGAATAGACACAGCTGAAGCGAGAATTTTAAAGAGAGAGAATTAGTAGATAGAGCACAGGTCTGAAAAATTATCTAGAGTGTGGCACAGAGAGTCAAAGAGATGGAATATATAAAAGAGAGAAAAAGAGACAGAAGACAGAGCAAGAAGGTATAACACATATCTAATCAGACTTCCAAAAGGAGAAAAAACGGGGCAGAGGCAGTATTTAAAGGGTAAATAAGGGCTGTGAACACCAACCTAAGATATGAAAAGCCAAATAAATCCCAAGCAGAAAAACAAAAAAATCCACACCAATACACATTATAGTGAAGCTACAAAAATCAAAAGACAAAGAGAAGAGTTTAAAAGCAGCCAGAGAGGAAAAAGTCACGTTACCTTCAAAGAGCTTAGGGAGATTTACAGCTGACTTCTCAAGAGCAACAATGGAAGCCAGAAGACAGTGGAGTGAGATCTTCAATATGCTGAGAGAAAATAACTGTCATCAAGTAAAAATATACTTCAAGAACGAGGACAAAACAAAGGTACACTCAGACCTACGGAGAAAGACCTGAGAATCTATTACCAGTCGAACCTCACTAAAGGAAATTCTGAAGGACATACTTCAGACAAAAGGAGAGTGATCTCAGATGGAAGGTCTGAGATTTAAAAAAAACAAAACAAAAAAACCAGCAAAGTGATTCGATTACGTGGATAAACCTAAGCAAACACTGATGCTAAAAAAAATAATAGTAATGTCTTGTGGGGTTAAAAGAAAAAAATCAACAGACCCAACAATAATGACATATAATTGCATGTGTGTGTGTAGAGTAAAACTAAACCAAGTTAAAGTATGTTAAAGTAGCCTGGGGTCCTTGTATTGCTCAGAAACAGGGCCAAGATGAGAAGTACTATTAGACCAAGTTAAGTGAAGTACACGTTATAATTTCTAGGGTGACCAATCAAAGTATAGGAACAGAGTATACAGCTCCCAAGCTGAGAGGAAAAAAACAGTTTAAAAAAAATCAAAAGAAGGCAAGAAGAGAAAAAGAAAGTAGAAAAAGCAGGACAATAACACAAAAAAGTGTAGACATAAATTAAGGAAGCTGTTAATAGAAATTGCTAAAGACTCAGATACATTTTTTCAACTTCCATTAAACTGACATACATCTCAGTATTACATAATGGTCCAAACCTTTCTGTTTTTTCATTCACTTCAATAAATATTTACTAAACATCTATTATAAGCCAGGCCTTGTAGTAGGCAAAGAAAATAGCCTTGGTTCCTGCTTTTATGGAGATTATTACTGTCAAATGGGTAAGAGAAAAGTTAACAGCATCATGGCAACTGTGATAATTGCTATGATGTCAATAAATTGGTTTTTTTTTTTTCACACCATCAGGCACTCTGGTGTTCCTCCATCTTATTCAATTACTTTCCCTTAAGAAAGTACTTGAGAAGAAAGAAGTCAGGACTTTGCTAACAACAAAAGTCTAACAGAATGATAAATCAATACATACCAGATATTACTATACTTAGTTTGATCTGCAGTTAGTAGTCTGTCTTGAAAGCTGGTTACTAATTCTGGAGCAGTCCATCGCAGAGGGAAAAATTTTTTATCATCTGTTTCAATATAATCCTCCTGTTTTGTTAGAAAGCATACAGAATTTTGAATTTTATAACACTTTTAGTGAGCTCAATGATTTAATTCCAGGTCATTCTCAGAAAACACAAACTCCACCCCCAAAAAACATGTCAGAAAAAGAAGGTGGCACGAGACCGACTTTCTGGGCAGAAGGTGGGTGAGGGTTTCCCTGAAGCCTCCTGGGCCTCATGAGCTGGTCTCTGAGCCGTGAACGTTTGCTCAGTCATCCTTCCTGGAAAAGGAAGGTATGCCATGTCTGATGCACAGAACACAGACTCTGAGCAAAACATCTTGTAAAATATGCTGGGCCGTATCCCTGAACAGGGCAGTGGGGCGGTTAATGAGTAAGAGCGCAGGCTTTCCAATCAGACAGACTGGCTGAGTCCACGTTCAACCACTTACCAGCTCTGTGACTCTGGGCAAGCAACAAACATACTGAGCCGTCTTCCTGATCCGTAAGATCAGGAAGACACACCTACCTCCCTTTACAGTGAGGATTACATGAGATCGTGCAGGCAAGTTCTTCATAGTGCCTGGGTGGTATACAGCAAGCGCTCAAGACGCTAGAGCTACCATGTAGACAAAGAACTGACTTACATTTGCGTGATATTTTTTTGCCCCACATTGGCACCTCACTCAGCTGGGCTACACAAACACACACAAATAAAAATCTCAAATACTTCATTTATTTTCTTTGGGGATATAATTATAACAGAGTTTAAAAATCCAAATCCCAAGCTTACCGAATTTGAGCTGAAATTTTACTGAACATGTAACAGAGAAATATTTATATGACGTGTATTTTATTATACAGGTAGCAACAATTTACCCCGCTTTCCAAAAAGGCATGGCATTTCATGATATGACCACTTCATGAGTATGGAATTAAATCAGGTCAAGGAGAGGACCCTTAAACCTCAGGCTTACCTTGTACCTGCTGAATCCTATTCCATAATCTCCCACTTTCACATTTAAGTCCGAGGTAAGAAAACAATTCCGCAGGGCTAAATCACTGAAAACAGAAAGAGTGAAGTGAACACGAGAACAAGGAGAATCAACACCCAGGATGATGTGACATGAAATTGCTATGGCTAAAGGCTTTCTTGAGTAATCAGCTAGTGTACTGAGCTCCCTGCTTAATAATTCGTGTTTTAAAATCCTTTTTCACAGAAAAAGGTAATACCATATTCCTAATTACTTAAAGAATGGAGATGATCAGATTTTTTCGTACATCACTCTGACTGCTAAGGTTAAATACTGACCATATCCGTACCTTGTTCTGCATTAATACCAGATTTATGGCTCATTTCCTAGTATTTTTAGAGTTACCAAGAAAGAATTCTAAATTGGCTAAATTGTCTGAATTTTTAAAAATAACTTGCATTACCTGAGTAATAGTCTAGTAGTAGTCTCTTTAATGTAAGTAAAGAAGAATAAAGTTACAACTTCAAGCACCCGAAAATAATCTACATTATTAAAAATGTTTGGTTTTTAACTCCTTTTTCAAAGATATGCAAGCGTTATAAGGAGACCCTTTCCAAATCACTCTCGTCTCTTCCAAACTCCACCTCCCCAAGAGGGAGGCAAAGAGCATATTTTCAAGACTCACTTAAAACAACTTACTTACATAGAACAAGTTAATTTTCAAAAACACCTAATTTGCAAAGTAAAAACTACTTTTTCTAAAGGAACTTCCCATAAAAATAGCAGATTACATTTTTTGGATTTCACCTTTACCCCTTAGAATCTTTTAAATTATCAATTGGCACATGAATAAAAAAGCCACTAAATTAAAATAGAAGTGGATACCTAATTTATAGTTCTAAATCACAAATAAAAGTAATCAGAAGCTGCATTTCTAGAGTCCAAAATTTAAAACATTTGTCTTCATATGACTGTAGAAGACCAAAAACTTTATCAAATTCTTATTTTCGATGATTTGAATTTCCAAAGTCCACATGTCTGAAATGTAATGAGAATGAGGACAGCAACAGCTAAGGCTGATGTACTTCAATGACAGCCTGGTGTGCACAACGACACCGATCCAATCATACAATAATGGCTAATGTGAGCCAAGCACTTTACACAAGGCGTTTCTCTAAGCACCGGACACATATTAACTCACTTAATCTTCACGACAAGCCTTTGAGGTGGGCACTGTTATGTTCTCCGTTTATAGAAAAGGAAACTGAGGCACAGAGAACTGAAGTGACTCTGCCAGGGTCAGTATTTCCGTCTTCACCATCAATAACCACCACCACCAATTCGTTATTACCAGTCAGAGCACGGTGCCATGCGTGCCGCTGCTCCTCAATAAACATGCTGATCTCAATTTCCAGTTAGATGTGTTCAATTCTTCTTTACGCTATGTTTACAAGCCGTATTTTCACGGCGCACCATCTAAAAGACATCAGGCCTGTGGAGGCACCTGGGGAAAACCTCGGGACACCCCTACTGTTATAGACAGTATACAGGCACACGTGGGAGATACTGCGGGTTTGGTTCCAGACCACCGCAATAAAGCATATCTCGCAATAAAACGAGCCACATGAATTTTTTGCTTTCCTAGTGCACAGAAAAGTGATGTTTACACTACACTGTAGTCTACTGAGTGTGCAAGAGCATTATGTCCAAAAAAGAAAAAACAATGTATAAACCTTAATTAAAAAATACTTCATTGCTTTAAAAATGCCGAAATAATTATAATAAGTAACATCAAAGATCACTGATCACAGATCACCATAACAAACATAATAACAATGAAAAGGTCTGAAATATTGCGAGAATTACCACAATGTGACACAGAGACAGGAAGTGAGCAAACGCTGTTGGAAAAATGCGCTGACAGACCTGCTCAGCAAAGGGCTGCCACAGGCCCTTGATTTATAAAAAAACCGCAGCATCTGCGAAGCGTGATAAAACGAGGTGTGCCTGTAGAAACTTCCCATCTCAAGGAGAGAAGTGGTCCCTGTCTTTTGGAGTGAAGGGAGAAGTGGAGGGGTGCCATATGTGGGCAGGAGAATACAAGGCTCTAAGGCAGCCTGACCCTCTGGACCAAGAGCTGCACCCGTGCGGCCCTGCAGGTCCTGCCGCAGAGGCCCTGAGCACCTCCAACCAGAATTTCTGGAGCCCCTGCAAATAGATCCTTCCATTTATTTATGTATTTATTTATTTATGGCTGTGTTGTGTCTTCGTTGCTGCACGCGGGCTTTTCTCTAGTTGTGGCAAGCGGGGGCTACTCTTCGTTGTGGTGCACAGGCTTCTTACTGCAGTGACTTCTCTTGTTGCACAACACAGGCTCTAGGTGCGTGGGCTTCAGTAGTTATGGCAAATGGGCTCTAGAGCGCAGGCTCAGTAGTTGCGGCACATGGGCTTAGTGGCTCCTCGGCATGTGGGATCCTCCCAGACCAGGGCTCGAACCCGTGTCCCCTGCACTGGCAGGCGGATCTTAACCACTGCACCACCAGGGAAGCCCCAACAGATCATTCTCAACCTCTCCAACGCCTGTGTCCTAGGACCAGAATTAAAAGCTGGGTGCCAGCGTTCCGGCCGGGGCATGTGAGTGTCATCTGTGGCGGGGCAGCAGGGCGAGGCCAGCAGGGCACCTGCAGAGCCCCTGGCACCTTCCACTCAGGCCACTAGAGCCACTCCAGGACCACCCAGCTGCCTCCCTCCTCGCCTCTCTCCTCACACACGTTTCCTGCAGGTCTTCAGATACAGGAAAGGAGAAGCTTAGATAAAAGATGAAAAGTTATACCTGCAAAAGACCTGCGGCTCTCGTTATAAACGACATTGTGAAACTCTTACACAATTCAGCTGTTGCTCTCAGAGAAGGAGGAAGTGCTTCTCATTACCTGAAAACCAGGGGTAATGAGGAGGAAAACAATGGTGTGACTGAGAGAATTTCTTCTAAACCTGCTCCCTCCCTCTACCCCAAATATCCCATCACCAGAGTACAGTGGCAAAAGCACTGGACAAAGTCAGAGACCTGGGAACGAGTCTTGGCTCCACCGCTAAGAACTGTGTGACTTCGGGCTAAGTCAATTCACACATCAGAGCCTCGTTTTTCCTTGCCAGAAAAAGGGGGCACCTAACCTGTAAGGGTTAACTCATATGGTTTTTATAAGAATAAAATTTTTTAAAATATGAAATGTTTTCAAAACATTGAAGTGTTATCCAGATTCTAAATGATGATATAATTCAATTCAAAATTAGTAAAAATAAACACTCTCTGAAGGCCAATAACATGCCAAGCTAAAGAATAGGAAAATGCAAAGGTGTAACTATTTAATGGCAGAGGTAACTCTTGACGTCAATGGCTGGTTTGGGTCAGGAAATACAAACATACCCAGTATATTCTTCCTTCAAGTTGAAAAACAGGTCTAGTGGCAAAGCTGCCAGGCGATCCAGCCCTGAAAGGCTCTAAAGCTCTGGCCCCGTCCCCCTTGGCTTGCAGCGCTCGAGGTGGCCTCAGCTGTCAGTGGGACCCAGCCGCGTGAGCAGAGCCGCCAGACACAGGAAGCGTGCGTTCACAGAGGAAAGGGGTTCTAAACAGCTTCCCATCCCGAGTCACAAGGAAGCATCACCACTTGTTCTCTGCTTCCACTGGAATGAGAGTGTACCCATCTCCAGGAGGACTGCTCTCATGGAAACGGCTCAGTGTGGCTGGAGACACTTCCCAAACCATCCTCTCCCCTACTTACGTTACCACTTAGGGTCTCCCAGAGACCCTGGATTCCTGATCAAAAGAGCAACAAACAACCGAAAGTTACAGAATACTCTTCTAGGGCTTGGCCCACGTTACCCTATGTAATCTTGACCAGAACACTTCAGGGCAAGATTATCCCCATTTCATAGAAGAAATAGGCTCAGAGGATTAAGGACCGTGGCTCACACTGGTAAAGCTGAGGAGAGGCCACTTAACAGCACCAACCTGCCGTTGGCAGCCACGAAGGTTTAAAAAGAAAAATCCCTACGTGGGTTGTGAAGAGACTCTGCCACTTACCAGCTGAAGGTGGGGTGCAGCTCACAGAGATACAGGTAGAGGATTAAGGCAAGAGGACCCCGACGTGGCACAAAGACGCAACTCTACTCAGGGTTTGGACCCCTGCTTATCAAGTCAGCCCCCGCACCGCTTCTCTTCCCCGACACACAACACAGCCAGCCCACAGGTCTACAGCAGTCCTTCCTAACCCTCTCACACCTACCTTCTGTGTAAGCTGGGTTATATGAACACTGGGCTCCTGTAACACTGGACACCCACACTCTTAGGGCTGGATGACTTAGTCACCTCGGTGTTTCTCAGCAGAGTGTAACTTTAACTTTAAAACTGGGCAAATCCTACAGAGGTCCTTTCATGCACAGCTGCCACCTGGGTACTCCTCAAGGCCACCGTCACACAGGTCTCCAGCTATGTGAGCCACCACAAGGCCCACGCCGCAGGCTGGATGCCCTGTGCACTTAGCTCATTGCAGTGACCTGGTGGCTTCTCATGGGAGCTGCTCCTTCAGGAAGACTGACAGGCTGGGGACAGGAAGTCCCAGGCTCTTGGCCAGCAGGGCAGGATGGTGTGGAGTGTAACACACTGGCAGCTCCTGCTGTTTATGAGGCCTTCACGAATGTCATGTGTTTGACTGCGGAAACACAGGCTACCCGAGACCCAGGCATACGTCTCCTCTTAGACGATAAGTAAAAATAAAATTTAATTGGGGGTGCTCTACTAGATCACCTTCCAGTTGGACGTGTAGGATATTCTACTTTCAACCAACACAGAAAGTCGGACTTTGAGGTAGCAAACAAATATTCTAAAGTTCAACTTAAAAATACGCTACTATGTATTCAATATCTTATAATAACCTATTGATATAATGACAAACAATCTGAAAGAAATATATATATATATATAACTGAGTCACTATGCTGTACATGTGAAACTAACGCAATACTGTAAATCAATTATACTTCAATTTTTAAAAGATGCTATTACGCTGTGCTACCAACAAAAAAATAAAGCACAAAATTTTGCCCCAAATGGAAATTTTACATAAAATATGGCTATTTTTTAAAATAAAATGAAACAGTTGTCAATGGTTTCAAGAATTTTCTTTACCTTGAGTTTATGCACCTGAATTAAATCCAAACCACGTGAGTAAACTTATCAACTTTATTTGTTCTAAAGTTCATAAGATTCTAAATTCAGTAAAACTTTAACCTAAAGAAACTCACAGGAAGATAACATTTACTCTGACATCTTTGCCAATTTTTAAAATACAAGAGTAGAAACCGACCTGGGCTCTAAACACAATTTCTAGCTGTCTTTGATAACTTTATGTTCCTCATTCTGATACGATATTCTTTTTAAATGCTCCATTCTCCAAAATCTAAAAATTCCTACACCAAGTATTAGGTAATAATCATCTGTGTTTCACAAAAGATTAACAATACAAATATGCTGGGAATTAACCTGTCATGAAGTTAAAAACAAAATATAAGACTTCTCCATTATAAAACAAATAGATCTTTATATTTTGAACTTTTGTGTAAGGGTTTCTGCCTTGGGCCTGAAGAAACTCATGATCTTCTGGGTCTCTTAAAAAGCACTTTATCAGAATGATTTGCTCACTATGCAAGTCAGACAAGATAGATGTGTAAGAAAAATGTTAATTTTCCTTCTTCCCACCCTGAAGTAATGTTGAGAATTTGATAGGTATTTTTCCATGTCTGTTCACACACACACACACACACCTACAAATACAAGCTTTTTGTGTGTGTGTGGTATGCGGGCCTCGCACTGTTGTGGCCTCTCCCATTGCGGAGCACAGGCTCCGGACACGCAGGCTCAGCGGCCATGGCTCACGGGCCCAGCTGCTCTGCGGCATGTGGGATCCTCCCGGACCGGGGCACGAACCCGTGTCCCCTGCATCGGCAGGCGGACTCTCAACCACTGCGCCACCAGGGAAGCCCACAAGCTTTTATTTTAAACGTTGTCATATTATAAATATATTCCTGTGCAACCTGCTTTAAAAAATGTATAATACTTCATAGACACCCTCCATGTGAGTACACACAGGTGCTCCTTTTCAGGTCTTTGGATTGTTAAGAGTTAAATGACTTACAGTCAACTAAAGAGACACTGCCCGGTTTTGTCCAAAGACCTGAGAAATAATTTTAAACATAAATCAGAGCTCAAAAGACTATTCACAGAATCATCATCTCAGACAGGACTCAAAGCCCTTTGTTGTTTTAATTACGGAAATTACACTGATGATCTGAACAAGATACGATGTGCTCCAGAGAGCTGCAGCTATTCAAGTAGGAACAGAAAGGCTTGGACAGAAACGTGTTATCCCGACCACTGTGCTGCTCACACACAACCCCCGATCACCCCCAGCCTGGCCTGGGTGGCGTTGGTCCGAGACCAGTGCTGTGACCTTCTGTGAGAAGATGATGTCAGCCCTTCAGATCCCTTCTTCCCATCTCCGGAATGGGAGGTGGGCCACACCGCGAAAGCCAGCGGGTAGAGCTGGAGCCTGAAGCTGACAGGAGGAGGATGCAAGACCGGAACTGCTCCCTCTGCACTCTTTCACATTCTTTGAAATTCTGGGACTAATTTCTAGGCCTTAGGCTGTATTAAGGCACTCTGTTCCCTGGGAATTGGTTTAAATGGAGCCCAGCTCAACCCTTATTCTGACACTGGGCAGGAGTGGACACCTTGTTTATACATCGAGAGTTCACATTACAGCCGGTCCTCCTTGAGCTTCCTGCAGGGCCTCTTCCCACACTTTTGGGGTCAGCAGTGCGGGAGGTGCACGCGAGCAGAGGGACCCACCTGTGCAGGAAGTGCCGCTTGTGCATGGCCGCCAGCCCCGCCGCGATCTCGCACGCCAGCCTCTGCAGCAGCATGGTCTGCGCGTCCCCCCGCGCCGGCTCGGGCTCGCCACCACGCAGGTAAGCCTTCAGATCGCCCTGCGGAAACCAGCCCAGGTCAGTTTCCAAAGAGGACCGGGGGGACAAACGGGCATCTCCACACACGCCTCAGCTGACCGAGATGAAAATTATTTCGATTTGAGCTTAATAAAGAATAATCTCACCCTGAACAAGTTTGAAATTACAAAAAAGCAATTCCAACCAAATACTTAAAAGGTAGAGAAAACACTATTCTCCTTTTAGGATCATTCTAAATTAAACATTAGTTTACCTTTGTTATATAAACACACAGATAACAATAGTTAAATAAGATAAATTGGCAATAATGCACAATTTAAGTGCAGCAGTACAGAAATTTCCAGGTAACTAAGAGATGAGATGGAGAGTAAAAGAAGTGCCATTCACACCACCTTCAGGGATTCCAGGAGAACATCACATCACAAAGGCCACCACCAAAGCATTCATGAGCAACAGAGAGGGAGATGAGGAAAGAAAAACGGGTGGAAGAGGAAGAAAAAGTACTCTCAGTGCCGGTAACTGCTTCAGTTCTCTGCCAGCTTCCCCAGGGCCCTGTGTGGCCCAGAGACCACTGCGAGAAAGTACATTCTAGCCACTCCAGAAAAATTCGTGATGTTAATTCAAATAAGCCTGTTCAAAGGACAGCAGCACAGGCAGGAAAATGGGCAAATTCACATTTAGACACCCAGCACACATGTTTCAATGCCGAGTACCCCACGTATTCGCACAGGACTCCCCTATCTTATCCTGTTTTTGTTTCATGACGTTAATTTTAGGGCTGTGTGTCTTGGGGGTTAGTGTATCTCTTTTGGGAAATAAACTTTTGAGGCAATCTTCCACATTCTGCTTACCACATGATTAAGTATTTATTGATGTGATTTAATTCCAAGTTTAAGCTTTATATATTCAGTTAATAAAATTTAGAAAGTAAGTCAACAGCTTTCACTTTTCTTCACATCTGAGTCAAAAAAGACTCCAGAGGAAGGAAATTTTTCTCAACCAATTAAAGATTCTGATACATTTCTTATAACTGCTACTGAAGATAGCAAATTCCTCCCAGAATTAAACTTTAAAACACAATATTCCTTTACTAGCATTTGTCCACACTGAATAATAAATACGTCCTAATGTAACTTCTAGGTCCACACCAAGAATCCAAATTTGTTTTAATTCCCAATTTCCATCATCTTAATATGAACGATAATGTTGATATCAATAACTGTTACCACCAGAGCTTTCGAACGTTTGCCAAGCACTGTTCTGGGAGTTTCCACACCTGCTGCCCTCAAAGAACTCTCACAATTTAAAACACTTTCCAGATGTGGAATAGGCTTCGGGAGGTTAAGAACTTTGCCCAAGGCCACAGAGCTAACAAACAGTGGGGCTGCACTTTTACAGTTTACCAACTTGCCAAGAAAATTCTATTTGGTGAGTGAACCAAATTAGCACGTAGATCAAATCGATTATTCTATAAGAATGAGTGTCCAGTAAATTCAAGCCAATCACACAGCTGTGGAGGAGTCTCCCAAACTTAGTGAACTGCTCTGCCAGGGCAGCAGCTGCTCCCCTCAGGACCAAGGTGTGTGCTCACCCACGTCATCGTCCTCCTATTTCTTTGAGAATGTGGTGCTTTCCCCTTTTGCTCCCCTAGTAATTACAAGCTGCTCCAGTGGAGAAACAGACACCTTTTCTTCCCCTTTAAAAATGCATGTCCCTCCCCATGCCAACCCCACCTTCACCCAGGCTAGGCTCTGTCCAGCATGGGAGTGGTGGGAATAAACCCAGCTTTGGGCGACAATTAAATTAACCCAGAAAAACTCCAGCAAAAAGCACCAGGCTACAGGCTGATGGGATTTTCATAAGGTAGCTCATATGGAAACGAAATATGAAAACAAAAAGCTGAAGTTTACTTACATTACCAGTGAAATAACCACTTAAATGCATTTGTCTAACCCCTTTCTTGCAATATTCATCTAAGGAAAAAACTACCCTCACACGAAAGTCGGATTATGCTGTGCTGCATCTGGCCACTTCTCAAAACCAACAGAAGCTTCGGGCAAACAGCAAGTACTTCCCAAGTGACTTTGGCCATGAAGGCAGGAATGGCAGAGTGGGTGTAGTTATTTTTCAAGGTTACCTAAAGCATACCACTCACTGTTCTAAAGTTATCTTCTCCCCACAATAGGCCACTCCCCAGATTTCACTAGAAGATAAAGTATAATAAACAGCAGGGGATTTTGCTTCAGACTGCTAACGCTCTGAAAGTTTCCAGCTTGACAAAAACTAAAGGCCTCTCCCAACCCGCACTGGGGGGGGCGGGGGGAGGGCGCAAAGTGAGCGCGACCCCAGAAAAGACGTCTCTAACCTGGGGAGTAAACATGAGGTATTACTGAGGAGCCCATGACTGTTTCGCAAGGATGAGACCTGTGATGGGTTGGGAGGGACTCTTTCTATGTTCTAGAAAGAGCCTCAAGAGCTCTCCTGGCACCACCATTTGAAAGAAAAATCAGCATAAAATCTTTAATTACAGAAAAAAAATTATATTATATAAGTACTAAAAATTGACTCATTCTATCCAAAACAGATAAAGCTGCATTTAGATATCTGGCTTATTTTATTTATGTTTTAATGATGCCTAGTGAGTAGACAGGGATTATTACTTTGGTCCATTATTTGAAGAGAAAAACACTGAGAACAGCAATGTATTCTGAACTAAAAAGTTTCCTTTATCCAAGTTTTAAAAATTTCTCAGATCCTCCCCAAACTGCGACCCTCTGCAAAATACTCAAAAAGAAAAATGTATGACACTAGATGGCAGCAAAGTGCTTATACTAAGATCTCAGATACCAGAGCAGCCCCTTGGCCGACTTCTTGGAATGAGTCACTCGAAGACCTTTAGATGGTTACTCACAAGGGCCCTCATAAATCCCAGCATCAGCTGCCATGAGGGCTTCGTCCAGCTTTTCACAGGACACTGAGAACAATGAATTAATTCCAATACAATGTAAAAACCCAAAAAGTAAATAGCTTTATAACTGAAAAATTAGTTGTTTATACATTTAATAGAAGGATTTGGGAGGAAAATTTGTTTTTAAACAAAAATCTGAGGACTTCCCTGGTGGCGCAGTGGTTAAGAATCCGCCTGCCAGTGCAGGGGACACGGGTTTGAGCCCTGGTCTGGGAAGATCCCACATGATGCGGAGCAACTAAGCCCGTGCGCCACTACTACTGAGCCTGTGCTCCACAACTACTGAATCTGTGCTCTAGAGCCCGTGAGCCACAACTACTGAGCCCGTGTGCTGCAACTACTGAAGGCCGCACACCTAGAGCCTGTGCTCTGCAGCAAGAGAAGCCACCGCAGTGAGAAGCCCGTGCTCCGCAACAAAGAGTAGCCCCCGCTCGCCGCAACTAGAGAAAGCCCGCGCACGGCAATGAAGACCCAATGCATCCAAAAATTTTAAAGATTAAAAAAAAAAAAAACTGAGTGAAAGGAGGAAAGAATGGCAGCAACAGCTGCGTGCTCGGTGTCCACCGACAAAGTGAAACAGGGAGGTAGGGCGGGAGCCCTGGGAACGCCCCCAGCCCGAGGGTTTCTTAGCTCCCTCAAGCCCTCTGACTGCACCTACTTTTCCCTCCACCACCCGAGTCCTGCCCCGCCCCCCAACATCCACACCTGCACAGCACCTTCTGTTATCATGGATTATTCTCCCTGAGCCCATCCCTTCTCAGCTCAAATACCTCTCAGGTGAATCCCATAAAGAACCAGCAAGCGCCCTCTGCCTCCAAACCCGGTTCCCGCTCCCATCCCACTTCCCTCCCCTCTTCACGGACAGACGCCTCAAAAGCCGGGTCTGCGCTGGCTGGCCTGCCTCCTGGCCCCCCAATCTCTCTCAAACCCCTCGCCCCCCAACAGGCTGGGCTCTAGCTGCTCCTGCTGGGCAGGACCAAGTGAGGGGCCCGTTCCCCTGTGCTGGACCTTCCCCCTCTTACTGGTCTGTAGGCGTTGGCATGCCCAGGGCTCTGTCTGTGGTCCTCATCCCTCCTCACCGTGACACTCATTCCCAGGTGACTCTATCACCCTGTGGCTTTGAAAATCATCTCTCATACATTTCTCTGACTCAGACCCCTCCACCTCCTGAGCCCCAGACGCAACTGTCCAGCTGCGGACTCGATACCCTTCCCTAGATGCCCTGAGAGGCACCTCAAACCTAACACGCCCAGTGCAAAGCTCCGACGATCTGCTCCATCTCAGGAAATGGCATCACCGCTTTCCCAGTGGATCAGGCCAAAACCAAAGTCCTCATTCTTGAGTTTGCTCTCTCTCTAGACGCCCACATCCAACCCATCACCAAGGCCCGGATCTATTTTCACAAAGAGCCAGGGCCTCGGGGCCCAGGGCAGCAGCCACGTGTGGGGAAGGGAGCCACTGGCAGGGCCCAGGGATGTGGCGCCCCCACCAGCCACCCCCCTTCCAAGCCTGATGATGCCGTGTCATTGCTCTGCATGTGTCCCTCCCGCTGGCTCCGAGTGAGAGACACCGTCCACGTGCACCTCTGTTCCACAGTAAGCCCATGTCCTTTCTTTTCTACTCCTGCTCCCGAGTGGCAGGGACACATCACCCATCTCTGTATGCCTGGGAGGGCCCCAGTGCATGGGCTTATGTAACGAACTCATTTACACATAAGACACGGACATGGACTAGGCGTTTTCTGTACAAAAGGCCAATTCGAAAATGGAGGCTTCCCACTGGTGGAAGACAAACCTACAGCCATTAAACTACCTCATATAGAAGTACACAGAATAAAATTAAGCCATCAGTTAAAATCCCCACTTTGCCACAAGCAATCATGTGACATCAGGCAAGTCAATTAACCAAAGAAGAGAAGACAGAAAGCCTGGTCCTGAGGTCGGGCATGGGTGTGGCCCCGAGAGGCCCTTCATCTCTTGCAGCCCGGTTTTCTAATCTGTAAAACGAAGAAGACTGAGGCAAGGAGACTCGGTGAAGGAGAAGCAAACACCTC